GATCCTTTCCAACAGAGTTTGAAAAACTCTTTGTATCTTATTATATTTTTTATTTCACTCCATCACTCAGGCTGGAGCGCAGTGGCGTGCTGTTGGCTCACTGCAATCTCTGCCTCCCAGATTCAGATGATTCTCCTGCCTCCGCCTCCTGAAAAGCTGGGATTACAAACATGCAGCACCACGCCCAGCTAATTTTTGTATTTTTAGTAGAGACGGCATTTCACCATGTTGCTCATGCTGGTCTCAAACTCCTGGCCTCAAGTGATCCATCAGTGTTGGCCTCCCAAATGGCTGGGATTACAGGTGTGAGCCACCATACCCTGTCCTGAAACATACTTTGTATTTTTTAAAAACTGTTCTTGTTAAACACTGAATCTGCTCTTAAGAAGAAATGTCATTTTATAGAAATTATCATTTTATTTTAATCAAAGGCAACAATGATGCATGGTCAGAAGCTTTTTATCAAATTGCTGTACTTGGTCAGAAAGAAGGTCATTTTATTTTATTTTTCCTTGAGTTTAAGCAACTTTTACATATCAAATCCTATTTCGTGCTACAGCGATGTGACAACAAAACTCTATTTAAATGACTAAACTGTTGATGGAACATAATTTAAGGGTGGGGGCGGGGAGACAGAAATTCTACAGAAATGTGTAGATTAAGTCACTGTTGATCCAAATAGAAATGTCAGGATCTTCCTCCATTTAAGATGCAGACACCAGTACCCTGAGGCACAAGGGAAGAATTTGATTTACAATTTGAAGGAAACACAGCGGTAAAATAATTGAGAGCTGGAAAGCAATCTCACTCTGGCCAAATTGCTTTCCTCTATGTGTGCCCTATTTAGGAGTGATATTTAGATACCTACATTTAGTTCATGCATATTTTCCTTCTCCTGTGACCATGCCATCCTGTCAGATTGGGACTGTTTCTCTGCTGTGATCAGCGAAAAGGAATATCCAAATTACCTAGCACTGGATTATGCCTGATGCTTCATAAATAGAAAATGGTTGATTTTTTTTTTTAAGCACAAAGGTGATAAGCTCACTGTTAGTGGGAACGTGCTTGGTCCATCCCTAAATTGCCAAAATGTAGATTCCTTCCAAATAAGCCTTAATTTGAGTTTATGGGACTCAGACATGTGAAAGAACATTGCAAATTGTAAAGAACTGGTAAAATATTTGTTAAAAACGACGACTACCAGCAGAATAGTTTGTGATAGAGATTTGATGAATATCAGCTTTGGTGTTGCTTATTACTCTCTTTCCCATGAAGTGTTCATAGACGAGGGAGCCCTTCCTTTTCTGCCTGGTGGTAAATACCTCTAGGAATTAATCTTATAGTTTATAGACTCATAAATAAAAGTGTGTTGTACTGTCAAACCTTTGCTTAGCTAGTTCTCTGAGTCATATATTTAGTTATGTCTTTATAATCTCAGAAAGTCAGTAACAAAATTTGTCCTAGAAGTTTAGTTTTCATTCCCTGCATTTTGCCCATGGAAATTCATTCATGTGCTTTACATAAGAGCAAGAATTTAAACATCCAAAGTATCTTTATATTAAAACATCCGAGGTGCCCTCTTCCTTTACCTTTCTTGTTCGCGTTAGAAAATATTTCTGGCTTCCTCACAAGAAATACAAACGTGACAGATTCATTTTAATAATTGCCTCATGTGAGCCTCAGATACATTATGTGCTAGAATCAAAATTCTAATGCTCTCCAAAGATAAGGCATAAAAACCCATTTTAGAAGAAAAAATAGAAGTATTGAAAAGTAAACAGGAATAGACTATGCAAATTAGGCCTGAGCCAAGAACATGCGTGTTTTGAATTTAAAATCGGCTATAAGCCAGAGCCAGTTACATCTGGGTACCTGGAGGACGATGGAGATGAATATGAAGAGAATTTTGATTTCAAAAACAACAACCACAGAACCGCAAGCTGTAAGCTCCAAAAGTGATCATTTGCGGCCCTTCTGGCCAGACATTTGATGAATGTAGACCAGGTCTTTGTAATCTTGATTTAGCACTGGTAGTATTATTGTCTTTTTCTCACAGTTTACATTCTGAAGGCCACTTGTTCTTTGAATTAAAAACAAATGTACTTTCATCATGAACCTAAGTCAAAGCATGGTTCTCCCTTGCCCTGTGGCGAGAGAGATTTTGTGAGCAGTATAGTATGGTGGGTTAGAGGTTTAAATTATATGTGAGTGTGCACATTAATGTGTATATACACATGCCCACGCACCCCCAGGCTTATGCATGAAGCCCCATTTATATCTCCATACGCATGAGAAGCCCTCCTACCTAGGGTGAGGAGGATTAGTCAGTTAAAGCAAATACTCTTAGAAAATAATGTAATGCATACATGATGTGGAATATTTTCCCATTTAATCTTTGTATATTTGTATTTAAATTTTTAATGTTATATTTGTACATCAGTATCTTTTGATGGAAAGGTTTTTTCCATCTAGTGAGGATTTCCAAATACTTTTCAAAAGCAAGTGAAGCTTTTCTTAAGGAGAGGTCTGATGACCAGAGGACCCTTCGCTGTTCTTGCATAAACTACGTTCTTTGAGAATCACCTATCTCAGGCAGCTCGGCTTTCTTCAAGTGGAGTAAGTACTCACACACCTGTGTGGTGATCTCAACACACATCAGTCTGGATTCTCAAAAGCTTTTACAGTTCTCTCACCCCACCTAATGTGACCACCATGATGCTTCGCCATCCCCCTTCGTCTGCTCTTTCCAAAAAACTCAACTTAGTTTTTGTACAAATCACTTTTTTGGCATTCATCTATCTTTGTCTTACATATTATTTTACTAGATTTTACAGTTCTAATGACAAATACTACTTGCATAAATGGATTTGGAAGAAAACTCATCCAATGCATACAAATCCATGGATTTCAAGCAGCTGTGCATGAGTATGGTAGAGAGTTAACTGCCTGGCTTCCAGCTTTCGGCATCAACTGGACATTTGTCACTCTTTTTAAGTGAATGGAGGCTGTTGTTTAATTACCTTTTTCTAAACTGTAGAAAGCTCAGAATAAAATATGTCACACACTTTGGGAGGCCGAGGCGGGTGGATCACGAGGTCAAGAGATCGAGACCATCCTGGTCAACATGGTGAAACCCCGTCTCTACTAAAAATACAAAAATTAGCTGGGCATGGTGGCGCGTGCCTGTAGTCCCAGCTACTCGGGAGGCTGAGGCAGGAGAATTGCTTGAACCCAGGAGGCGGAGGTTGCGGTAAGCCGAGATTGCGCCATTGCACTCCAGCCTGGGTAACAAGAGTGAAACTCCGTCTCAAAAAAAAAAAAAATATGTCACACACATCCAGAAATGTATAGAACCTTGTGGCCCAGGCTTTTTTCACTAACTTGACCTCCAACATCATCTTTTTCTACACTTTTTCTTTACACCCATATATTTTCTTTCCATATATTGTTATATTGTAAGAAACTTCCAATCTTTTGCTACAACGGTAATGTGATTTTGCTCAATAGGGTGTTTGTTTTGTTATTGTAGGCACTGTATAGTCCATGTTTTGTGAGGCCTATATTCTAAAATGAGCACATATGGAAAAAAATGTATTGAGTTCAAATTACCCTAAAACATCCCTTGAGAAGTGTCTGTGGTTAAGCCCAACACATAATATCTTCAGAGGTCTAACACACTCAATTCTTCCATCAGTTTTGGAGCAGATTAAGATTGTGGTGAGTGTCATATGAAGTAGTGTGACTTGCTGACAAAATGTGGGTATGTTCAAAAACTGGAGTGGGTTGGGATTGTCACACTATGAGAGAGAGAACTCATGGGAACCAAGATTCATGACCCTCACCTAAGGAGTTTAAAAGCACACCCTGCCTGGTGTTCTTTCTATATGCATTCCTCCTTTCTGGAGAAGTAAGTCTCATCTTCCTTAGAAGGCAAACATAGAAACTCATCTTCTCTTTCCATATATTCTCATAGGACACACTCAAAAAGTTTTCAGACTTAAAGTAAAATTCAAATGGAAAAACTTTGCTTGTATTTCCAAGATAGTAAATGTGCATTCTTAATATTTTAACTTAGTATATAAAAAATGAACGTCATTATTTTGAAAGTTTATAAACTTAGCTCTTTGGTGGTCATACTACTGATTGGAAAATTGACTGATTTTCCCATATGGTTCTTAAATTAGACTAGTTTCTTCAAACATTAAACGTTTAGAAAAATCTGTGTATCTGGATTATCAGGGCCTGTACGTCTCATGTCAGCTACAGATCTTTAAAATATGGGCTTCCTATGTTATTACCACATTTACGTCTCTGAATTAGAGACAGTGTTTATATTTCATATGTGAGAATAATATCTAACTTTCATTTTTTTCTAGGAACTTTAGCCCTAAATTTTCAAAGCACAATAATTGATTAAAAATATAGGTTATATTAATTAAGTAATAAACTGTTAGTCTTCAAAAATAGAAATGCACATAATATCCACATTTTTTCTTGGTAGACAGCAGGAAGATTTTCTTTTCTTTTCTTTTTCCATCTATGACTAACTTTCTTTATTCAAGATACCTGAACTGGGGCGATTTTTAGTTAAGACAAATTTGGGAATGAGACTGTAATCCCTGTGGACACCTGATTTGTTTTTAACAAGGCAGCATTGAATAATGATTTACACTTAAGAGTATGGGCTTAGGGAGAAAATGTCTGGGACCTTGAGATATTTATTTAATCTCCATGTGCCTGTTTTCTCTACCATAAATGGGCATAGTAGTTGTATCTTCTTCACGGTTATTCTGAAGATTAATTAATATGTCCAAAGCACTTGAATCGGTACTCATATGTCATAAGTCCTCCATAAATTATTATTAGTGTCAACTTTGTGTGCATGAGAACGGGATCCACACCAGTGGATTCCCAGTAAATGTCAAATGGCTGGTGAAGATGCTGTTGAAATGCCTTGGTGTTCTGGTCTTTCACCCTCCTCCCCTTTTCTCCCCACACAGGTGGCCCCAGCCATTAAAGAGAGGATGATGAAGAAGGGAAGCTTGATGCTGGGCTACCAGCCGCACAGGGGAAAGGTCAACTTCTTCCGCCAGGTGGTGATCAGCCCGCAAGTGAGCCGGGAGGACATGGACTTCCTCCTGGATGAGATAGACTTACTGGGTAGAGACATGTAGCTGTGGCTTTGGTCCCCCAGAGGCATAGATCCTGTCCTGGGAGAGTTTACATCCAGAACATCTTGGAGATACATAGCAGATTGCAGCCCTTCTGATGAGAAATAGGAAATTTACCAGTCCAGGTCCAGCAAAACCAAAAAGCTAAGCAAAGAATATTAAAGACTCTCTAGCTGCCTTGGCATTACTGTTGCTAAAAGAATGTTAAAAAAAAATGATTTTCTCAAGGAATGTCCCCGGAACACAGCTCTGAAGACAGTTTAAGAAGCGCCATGTGGGTTCTGGATTCTAAGCTTACATTGCTGTTTAAGGAACTTATAAACTAACAGTTTAAAGCGCTATTTCTCAAAGTGTGGTCCCTGGAATATCAGCATCAAGGTACCTCCTGGGAACTTGTTAAAAATGCAGATTCTCAGGCTTTCCCCAGACCAACTGGATCAGAAGCTCTGGGGGAGAAGCCTAGTATTTTGTGTTTTAACAAGCCCTTCAGGGAATTCTGATGCACAGTAAAATCCGAGAAACACTGGTTTGAGGAAAACCTTGTAATGATCTAATACTCACTAATGTTATGCCAAAGAAGGGATATCTAATATTTCAGAAGCCCCTGAGCCATTCTTTGAAAAATATAACTATGGCATCTGGAGCACAAATATTTAAGGACATCAGAAGCATGTCAAAGCTATTTTTAAAGAGAGAAACTATATAAGATGTTTACTTCATAAAGATGTATGTTTTATGCAGGCTGAAAGTTTATCTCAAAAGTTAAAATTATTCTATTTTTTTCTCAGTTAGAGATTAGAATAAAAGGCAAACACTTCATAGTATGGCCCTTTCAGTCAATGATCAATAGTCCTAATTCACTTCCCAATGTCATTTGTGTCATTAGCCAAGGATGGACATTTTATATATATATATGTAATTCAAAGCACAATAACTGAAAGAAAAATAGAGGTTCTATTAATAAATTAATAAGCTGTTAGTCTTCAAAATAAAACTGCACATAATATCCATATTAGTTTTTTCTTGGTAGACACTGGAAGGCTTTTTTTGTTTTCATCTGTGACTAATTTTCTTTATTCAAGATACCTGAACTGGGGTGCTTTTTAGTTAAAAAAAATTTGGGAACAAATTTGGGAAATATATATATATGTTTCTGTGATATATATACATATATATGTATACTATACACACATATATGTGTGTGTATATATACATATATATGTATATACACACACACACACACACACACACACACACACACATATTTGTTTCTGTGTTCCTCTTTTAGCTTGAGGAGATTGTTTCTTATCTTGCTCCATGCCTCATAGGGAATAAACAGAATGAAGTCCAGGGTTGTACAACATTCCCTTTTCTAAGCTTGGAAATGTCAATATAGCTTCTTAAGGGTTTAGATGAGAGAATCTGGGAATCAGTAGCCTTTCAGTGGAAACACTTCCTCCATTTCTCCTGTGAGTGGGTGAATTTAATTCTAACTCTGACACTGGTCCTAGATTTCTAGGAGAGTTTTATTTCACTAAGAAATTGACAGAATTCATAGGTGTGGGTGTAGAGTTCACCAAGATAAGGTTATGATTAATTAAAGCTGTGCATTAGAAGATGAATGACTGAAGAGTGTTAAGGTATTAGACTTAGCATGTTCAATAACCTTTTCATACTCCACTGCTAACTCATGTCATTTAAATTTTGAGGACTATTTGCTTTTATTGCTTGTTTTCATTTTAGTGTGCCTGGTTTCTCAGTATCTCTATTGGTCAAAGAATATTACATCTTTCTCTGGATTACTTCAGATTCTCAGGTGCAACCTATTTGTGTGTGTGTTTATTTTACATTTCTTCTTGCCTTTTTGTTTTAATATCTCCATAAAATATATCTAAAATTAATGTTTGTAACTATTTGGGTTTCATTAAACAAAAAGGAACATAACTATATTTAGTGTTGTTGCCTTTTCTTTCCTCGTACAATTCCTTACTGGATTGTACCAATACATTTTAGAATTGAACTGGACTTGGTTGGCCTTTTAGCTTACTGACTGAAAAAGTAGGCTGAAAGCTGTCTGTATTTTAGTTTAACATCTTGAATAAAATGGAAAAAGCGATTATAGCAAACGGTGGACTCTACTGTTTAGTCTTTCTTAATGACTAGGTAAGCCATGGGGATCTCAGCCGCAGCTTAACTCCTGCTGTGCCTTTTTTTGAGAGAGGGCAGCTCCTTATCAATGAAAAACAAAACTGCTACCAGAAATTTTGAAAATTCCATAATTTTTTTCTTGAAATATTCTAATATACCATAATAATCAGGTATTTGACCAAATCAAAAATAATTTTTTGATAAAAGTATGACTATAATGCATTTGTTCTTTCATTAAAACACTTATAGTGTACCTGTTATATTCTAGTCTTGTGAATACAATAGACAAAGTCCTGTCTCTTCTAACCTTTTCATCCTAATGGAGACAGACGACACATAAATATATAACAAGTCAGGTGGTGATAAATATTCTGAAGAAAAACAGAGTAAAGGGATAGAGTGTGGAAGGGAGAGAGTGGTGGGCCGTGCTATGGTAGAAAAGTTGGTTAGTTGTGGACTCTGTTCAGGTAACATTTGAGTGGAGACTTCCAGGAAGTGAGGAAGGGAGGCATGAGGGTGGCTGGTGAGAAGATCTTCCAAATAGAGGGTGAGGTTAAGTCAGAGGCATTCAGGGTACATACCCAAGCATCAACATGGAGGTGAGTCTGGCTGAAGCCAAGTGAATGACAGTGAGTGGTAAATGATGAAGTAAAAAAGTGTCTAGGAGTCAGGTTTCTGCAGGTAAAGGGTTAGAGTTAGATGAATATAAACAGTGTCTGGGAGTTGGTGACTCTCGGGTCTGTAGGTAAAGGCTTTTCTGTAGGTAAAGGGTTAGAGTCAGATGAATATACAGTGGAAAATCTGAACAGGGTATTGATGTAATTCAACTTATATTTGAATCAAGATCACACTGATTACTGCCTAGAGAATTAAGTGTTCGTGGGGAAAGGGTAGACTCGGAACTAAAACAGGAAGCAGTTTAAGGAGTTCAAGCACGAAATAATGGTAGTTCACGTTAACATGTTGGTGGACTTATGGTGAAAAGGGGTCAGATTCTGGAAGCAATGAAAGGTAGAGTTGAGGGCCGGGCGCGGTGGCTCAAGCCTATAATCCCAGCACTTTGGGAGGCCGAGGCTGGTGGATCATGAGGTCAAGAGATCGAGACCATCCTGGTCAACATAGTGAAACCCTGTCTCTACTAAAAATACAAAAAAAAATTAGCTGGGCATGGTGGCGCATGCCTGTAATCCCAGCTACTCAGGAGGTTGAGGCAGGAGAATTGCCTGAACCCAGGAGGCGGAGGTTGCGGTGAGTCGAGATCGTGCCATTGCACTCCAGCCTGGGTAACAAGAGCAAAACTCCGTCTCAAAAAAAAAAAAAAGGTAGAGTTGATAGGGTTGGCTACGGAGTGGATCATTGAAAGAGAAATGAGGAATTGTGGCTAGTTTCATATGCTTTTGGCCTGGGCAACCATTAGAAAGGAGTTGCCATTTACTGAGTTGAAGTTTGCAATAAGAGTGGTTTTGCCTGGTTTTGGCCATGTGAAATTTGAGCTGTCTAAAAGCCAGCCAACCACAGATGGACTATACATGATTAGTTATGAGTGTCAACTTCAGGGGAGAAGTTGGGGATGAAGATGTAAATTTGAGATCCATCAGCCTAGGGGTGCTATTTCAAATGATGGGATCGAATGATATCATGTAGAGCATGCTTGTGGATAAAAAGGAGAGACGGGCCAAGGATTGAGTCTGGGAATACCAGCTCGAGATGAGGGAAAACCAGCAAAGGAGACTGGAAGGGAGCAGCCAATGAGGCAGAAGGAAAGCCAAGAGAAAGTGGTTGCCCACGGGCCAATTAAAGAAACATTTTTCAGAAAGGAGGAAGGGACCGACTCTGTCAAAAGCTGTGGATGAGTCAAGTAAGAACTGAAACTTACTAGTCAGCAATGCAGAAGCCATTTACTTGTTGAAATTGTATTTGCTAAAAGTAAACATTTAGAATATAATTTTCAGTATTTATTTTAGTGCTCATCAGTCCTTATTAAATCCAAAGGCTTTAAAATTCCTCTTCTGGTTTTCAGTTTTTAGTAGTTGCTCTTCACTGGAAAAAAATCTAGTAATAACAAAGAGATTTTAAGCTTAAGAAATTATTACACTGCTAAATGAATCAGATATGATGAGGTTTAGCAGCAAATAAGAGAATGCTCAAATAATTCTGATTTAATTAAATGGGTTTATGTTTCCTAATTCAAAAGAAGTTCGAAGACAGACGATTCAGAGATGGTCTTACATTTGGTAACCTCACAGGCAGGCATGAAACAAAGATTTTAGAGCAAGTAGCCTATTCGTTTGGTGGTGCCGGAAAACACTGTTCTGAAAGTGGTAAGGTGAGACAGGAAACGGAAGAGAATCAGTAGTGATTTTTAGTGAGCAAATTAGTGCTCTGAGCAACAGAAGCTTAATCCTACCCACTACATTTGGGAAAGGGTATAGAATATACCTTGGAATGTCCCATCTGAGGGTTGGGAAGAACGGGTGTTAATCCATTGGTTGATAAATTGGTTGATAACTGATCCCAGGGGCAGTAGCTCTCTGGCAGTCCCCACCACGGGTCCTGTGGCAGGAATCCTTTGGACAGAGAGTACAGATGCTTGAAGCTAAAGTCTTCAGTAGGACTGGTAAGTGCCTAGGAGATTTGGAAGGAGAACTGACAGCTTTGGAAACAGTGGATGGTACCTTCAATATGTTATCAGGGACCCAGGATCCTTATATATTTTTATTCTGCTATCCTTAATTCATGGAGATGAATGAGGTCACCATGTTTTACTCATGGTTGCAACTCTGTGGTTCCAGCCATTTCTTCCAGCCATTTCTTCCACAATTCAGGCACAAGAAATAAGAAGAAATTTATTTTTCAGTGTCTGCTCCATTTGCTACATTGCTTTTTAGGGGAGACTAGAAAATGTAGCTTTTTGTTTGTTTTTTGCTTTGTTTTAGCGAGACACACTGACGTCCACAACCACATAAGTAGTTCCGTTCGTAATCAAGAAAACTATGAGAATGGACACTGGCAGTCAACTCACTGTCTTTGCCACCATGACACAAGCATGGTGGGACACCAGTTCTTAAAGCAATGTTTTGTTTTTCCAGTCAGCACAGAAATTAACCTAGACTGAGAAAGCTTGATTCCAATTACACTGTTTAGAGTTCAATTTGTCTCATCCTAGCTGATCAGAGCCAGCTTGCCTGGTTCATGCTTACCTAATACAACTGGAAATGGATTGATACAACTTGAAATGTCTCAATCCCCTTGCCTCAATTAGAACCAGTTTTAAACAGGAAAAAAACAGACTCAAATTAAGCTCTTCAGGACCAGTTTGATGCCTTTTGATTTACACTAGTCCGAAGTAGCCTAAGCTAAGTTGAACTGGCCTAACTGCAGTTTGAAGTAATTTTTATGTCTCTCTGTTTTGAGCACATTCTATTTAAGCTAGTTTGATCATGTGGAAATTTATTTTAACCAAGTTGAACTTGTTTGATTTGTTCAAATGTTTGTAGGATTTATTTTATAAAATTTAACTCAAGAAAAAATGGATTAAATCACTTAATCCAACTGGATTCAGAAAGGAGTTCCCTCTTCATCAATCTCTTAGCTTTAGGGACCACAGTTCAGTAGCAACAGTGCAATAAAAGCACTCTTGACTCGCTTTTAAGGGAAAACTCACCTAATGATGCAAAAACAACCCCAGGTTAAATTTAAGTCACAAGGGGAGAAAAACTGTGAGCTCTCAGTCTTCATTCTGTTTTCCACTTCTTCTCTATGGGCATTAGATTAGTCAAATGAAGCACTGGACACTCAGATCCTTAGAGTATAGTCCTATGGGGTTGGAGGTGAGTTTGGGTGTGGGGGTGAAGTACAGTAGAAACACAGTACAGGTTTCCTGTTTTCTTAACTCTCTAATTTTGCAGGCATGGCATTTCTTATGGCCAAAATTCTACAAGCTTGAGAATCCTCTACTGCAGGAATCCAAGGATGATTAGAGCAACAGCTAATATTTATCAAGTCCATACTATACATCAAGTACTAGGCCAGCTACACTACATGGACTTCCTTCCTTCTCGTAATACCCTGTGAGGTGATAGTTATTAGTAGTTATTATTATCCTCAACTTATAAATGAGGAAACTGAGGCTCAGTTTAGGAAAATTTCTTAACATTATCAAGCTCGAAAGTTATAGATTCAAGAGTCAAATCTAAACCCACCTCACCCCAGAGCTGAGGATCTTAACTTCGTCATGTTGGTATAGCTATGTGGAAAGTCAAGGCCATTAAAAACCCATTTGGTCTTAGAAGGCAATGATTACATCATACTGCCCTGACGTCTTTCTGAAGCCAGAATTCAAGAATTTTCCTTTCTGCTTTTTGCCACTAACGCTGGAGGATAGCAGTATAAAGGGCTCTTTGAGTGCATATACCAAGAAATTTAAACAGGAACCACAGTGGAAATGAGAATAATTATTTCCTGAGTACTTGGCCATTGCTTTGCTTCTCAGACCTTTTCCAAGCTCCATGACCACATGTCCAAATGCTTATTTGACAATGCCACTTGAGGTTCTCAAAGACACCTCAAACTCAGCATGTCCAAAACTGACTCATGATTTCCTACCCCCAGCCTCACCTTCCTCTCCAAACCTATTCCTTTTCTATGTTTTCCATCTCAGTGAAGGACACTGCTTTCTATCTAGTTTGGCAAACCAAAAATTCATAAATTAATGCTTAACACCATTAACTTCCCCTCTCCTCCACTGTTAGTGTACCTTATTGGACCTACGTTCAAACACATCTCCAATCCATCCATTTAT